AGCCGCCGCATGGAGCCGCCGCATTTAGCCGCCGCATTTAGCTGCCGCATGGAGCCGCCGCATTTAGCCGCTGCATTTAGCCGCCGCATGGAGCCGCCGCATTTAGCCGCCGCATGGAGCCGCCGCATGGAGCCGCCGCATGTAGCCGCCGCATTTAGCCGCTGCATGGAGCCGCTGCATTTAGCCGCTGCATGGAGCCGCTGCATGGAGCCGCCGCATGGAGCCGCCGCATTTAGCCGCCGCATTTAGCCGCTGCATGGAGCCGCCGCATGGAGCCGCCGCATTTAGTCTCTGCATGGAGCCGCTGCATTTAGCTGCCGCATGGAGCCGCCGCATTTAGTCTCTGCATGGAGCCGCTGCATTTAGCTGCCGCATGGAGCCGCCGCATGGAGCCGCCGCATGGAGCCGCTGCATGGAGCCGCCGCATTTAGCCGCCTCATGGAGCCGCCGCATGGAGCCGCCGCATGTAGCCGCCGCATTTAGCCGCTGCATGGAGCCGCTGCATTAGCTGCTGCATGGAGCCGCTGCATGGAGCCGCCGCATGGAGCCGCCGCATTTAGCCGCCGCATTTAGCCGCCGCATTTAGCCGCTGCATGGAGCCGCCGCATGGAGCTGCCGCATTTAGTCTCTGCATGGAGCCGCTGCATTTAGCTGCCGCATGGAGCCGCCGCATTTAGTCTCTGCATGGAGCCGCTGCATTTAGCTGCCGCATGGAGCCGCCGCATGGAGCCGCCGCATGGAGCCGCTGCATGGAGCCGCCGCATTTAGCCGCCTCATGGAGCCGCCGCATGGAGCCGCCGCATTTAGCCGCCGCATGGAGCCGCTGCATTTAGCCGCTGCATGGAGCCGCTGCATGGAGCCGCCGCATGGAGCCGCCGCATTTAGCCGCCGCATTTAGCCGCTGCATGGAGCCGCCGCATGGAGCCGCCGCATTTATCTCTGCATGGAGCCGCTGCATTTAGCTGCCGCATGAAGCCGCCGCATGGAGCCGCCGCATGGAGCCGCTGCATGGAGCCGCTGCATGGAGCCGCTGCATTTAGCCGCCTCATGGAGCCGCCGCATGGACCCGCTGCATGGAGCCTCTGCATTTAGCGGCCGCATGGAGCCGCCGCATGGAGCCGCTGCATGGAGCCGCTGCATGGAGCCACGCATTTAGCCGCTGCATGGAGCCACCGCATGGAGCCGCCGCATGTAGCCGCCGCATTTAGCCGCTGCATGGAGCCGCCGCATTTAGCCGCGGCATGGAGCTCCGCATTTAGTCGCTGCATGGAGCCTCTGCATTTAGCTGCCGCATGGAGCCGCCGCATGGAGCCGCTGCATTTAGCCGCTGCATTTAGCCGCCGCATTTAGCCGCTGCATTTAGCCGCCGCATTTAGCCGCTGCATGGAGCCGCTGCATTTAGCCGCCGCATGGAGCCGCCGCATTTAGCCGCCGCATGGAGCCGCCGCATTTAGCCGCCGCATGGAGCCGCCGCATGTAGCCGCCGCATGTAGCCGCCGCATTTAGCCGCTGCATGGAGCCGCTGCATTTAGCCGCTGCATGGAGCCGCCGCATGGAGCCGCCGCATGGAGCCGCTGCATTTAGCCGCTGCATTTAGCCGCCGCATGGAGCTGCGCATTTAGCCGCCGCATTTAGCCGCTGCATGGAGCCGCCGCATTTAGTCTCTGCATGGAGCCGCCGCATTTAGCTGCCGCATGGAGCCGCCGCATGGAGCCGCCGCATGGAGCCGCTGCATGGAGCCGCCGCATTTACCGCCTCATGGAGCCACCGCATGGAGCCGCCGCATTTAGCCGCCGCATGGAGCCGCTGCATTTAGCCGCTGCATGGAGCCGCTGCATGGAGCCGCGCATGGAGCCGCCGCATTTAGCCGCCGCATTTAGCCTCTGCATGGAGCCGCCGCATGGAGCCGCCGCATTTAGTCTCTGCATGGAGCCGCTGCATTTAGCTGCCGCATGAAGCCGCCGCATGGAGCCGCCGCATGGAGCCGCTGCATGGAGCCGCTGCATGGAGCCGCCGCATTTAGCCGCCTCATGGAGCCGCCGCATGGACCCGCTGCATGGAGCCTCTGCATTTAGCGGCCGCATGGAGCCGCCGCATGGAGCCGCTGCATTTAGCCGCTGCATTTAGCCGCTGCATGGAGCCGCCGCATTTAGCCGCTGCATGGAGCCGCCGCATGGAGCCGCCGCATGTAGCCGCCGCATTTAGCCGCTGCATGGAGCCGCCGCATTTAGCCGCGGCATGGAGCCTCCGCATTTAGTCGCTGCATGGAGCCTCTGCATTTAGCTGCCGCATGGAGCCGCCGCATGTAGCCGCCGCATTTAGCCGCTGCATGGAGCCGCTGCATTTAGCCGCTGCATGAAGCCGCTGCATGGAGCCGCCGCATGGAGCCGCCGCATTTAGCCGCCGCATTTAGCCGCTGCATGGAGCCGCCGCATGGAGCCGCCGCATTTAGTCTCTGCATGGAGCCGCTGCATTTAGCTGCCGCATGGAGCCGCCGCATTTAGTCTCTGCATGGAGCCGCTGCATTTAGCTGCCGCATGGAGCCGCCGCATGGAGCCGCCGCATGGAGCCGCTGCATGGAGCCGCCGCATTTAGCCGCCTCATGGAGCCGCCGCATGGAGCCGCCGCATTTAGCCGCCGCATGGAGCCGCTGCATTTAGCCGCTGCATGGAGCCGCTGCATGGAGCCGCCGCATGGAGCCGCCGCATTTAGCCGCTGCATTTAGCCGCTGCATGGAGCCGCCGCATGGAGCCGCCGCATTTAGTCGCTGCATGGAGCCGCTTCATTTAGCTGCCGCATGAAGCCGCCGCATGGAGCCGCCGCATGGAGCCGCTGCATGGAGCCGCTGCATAGGAGCCGCTGCATTTAGCCGCCTCATGGAGCCGCCGCATGGACCCGCTGCATGGAGCCTCTGCATTTAGCGGCCGCATGAAGCCGCCGCATGGAGCCGCTGCATTTAGCCGCTGCATGGAGCCGCCGCATTTAGCCGCTGCATGGAGCCGCCGCATGGAGCCGCCGCATGTAGCCGCCGCAT